CGGACAATGTTGGCTCCCTCGGCTAAAAAACGGAGATGAGCATGACCGGACAGGGGAAACCTACTCCTTTACTTTCTGCTGAATCCTACTCATTGCTACTTTTCTTTAGTTTTGGGATTCCTCTGCCTCCGTGTCTGGTGGAATTTAAAAACTAGGAAGTAAAAAGCCTCTCTGCGGATTTGACTCGGCTATTCGTTGCCGACTGTAGGGGTCAGTGGTTATCTCCGTTTCGAGGGCATTGAGCCAGGGTTGTCTAAAGACATTTCTGTGGTCACGTGGCCAGCATGTCATCATGGAGTACTGTTACCTTCCCACTGAAGTGGTACCTATTTATCAACTCGCATCTGCATGCTTTTGAACTGCTAGCTTGGCGGGAGCTGCGGCCAGGATGGGAAAAGCTACAGTAGTGGCCAAAATTGTGGAAACCTTTTGGAGAAAAGTGTACAGTAGAAATGCCACCTCTGGTTAAGTTTCCACCCATTTTTCTTCTCATTTCTTTATAACTGTAGCCTTGTTCACTTAATAATACTATTTTACATTGCTTTCTGGGCGACCAATCAACTCTTTGCACCATTGCTTTAATTTTATGTTTTGCAAGCTCACTAAATGAAAGAACACAAAAAAACCCAACCAACTTGATAGTGATCACATAACACACTGACAAATGTCCTCCTCTCAGCTTCAATACGTGACATCAATAACCGAATCCTACTGTGATCTGATTGGCTCAGTGCCGAAACAAGATGACACCCGATTGGCTCTCTAAACACTCATGCTCATTGGCTACAATCGGATGAAGGAAAGCTACCTGAAATCAACCTAAGCAAGTTGTGTTTCCTTTTTCTGGTTATTTGGCTATAACTTTTCATAGAGTACAGTACAGATAACTGAACAAACTATGTTGCATTACATTCTTGATTAAATTATCTTTCCATTGATGTATAATTTTATGGTACTACTCCAAACAAAGTGGTGTTATTAGCCATCAAACCTCAAAAATATACTTTTCCCAAAAGGTTTCCACAATTTTGGCCACTACTGTAGAGGAAGCTGGCAAACAAATTGCATTTTTCCGGCAAGGCAAAAAACAAGAGTGCCAGGTAGTCCCCAAATTATCACCATCAACGAGCCTGCCCATCAGAGTCATTAACTGGTGATGGTCGTAAAATGGATCACCTACTCAATTTTACAATCTTTTTTTACAGCAGTGGTCATTAAGCGAACGTGGCAATTAAGTGAACTAATGGCCTTTTATGGGGCGGGAAAACTAGAAGAAAATCCCTATTTGGGGTGTGTGTGTAAAATCATAATAAAACATGCTTATGTGATTGTGGGACACTAGAAACAGCCATAAAATGCAAGCCGATCAAGCATCCAACACATAATCACCTGACCAGGAGCCAGCCATCAGAACTTTGAATCTGGGTCATAAGTCCCTGCGGGGAGACTTATTATAACTTCAATTGGCTGCTAAGCAACTGGTCATAAGTTGAGGACTTCCCTATGTTCCTAAATGTCCAAGGATTTAATTCTAATAATAATAATAATAAAGTTGGAAGGGACCTTGGAGGTCATCTAGTCCAACCCCCTGCTCAGGCAGGAAACCCTACACCATTTCGGACAAATGGCTGTCCAGTCTCTT